ATGCAACTCTTGATGCTGAAAAAAATTTCTCTAGGAAAAGCCTCTTCAAGTTGTCCCAACTGGTAATAGATCTGGGAGGGAGATAGTAGAGCCAATCCTTGGCTACATCCATCAGAGAGAACAGGAAGGCCTTTAATTTGACATGCTCCTCAGGCACACCTTGTGGCCTCATGGTAGAACAAACTATGTGGAACTCCTTGAGGTGTTTTGTGGATCCTCACCTGCAAGGCCATGAAATCTTGGCAACAAGTGTATTAGTCCAGTCTTAAGTACAAAAGGAGCATCAATGTCAGGATACTGTATGCATAAAGTTTGATAAGTTACATTAGGTGTAGCCAATTCCTTTAATGTTCTTTCATTGTCAGCCATTTTTTCAATTTTAGATTCTATTGAATGAGGTGATGAATAGATAGATGAAGGAGATGAAAGTTCCTCAAAATGTTCAAAACTATTCCTCTGTGTTCTAATGCTACTATGAAATGTCCTGTCAATCTCTGGATCAAGTGGATACAAGTCTCCAGGATTCGATCTGGTCATGCACTAGAAACTAACTATGGTCAATAGAAAGAAGTAAACTAAATGAAACAGCATCATTGCAGAAAAATTCAGATGACAATTATGCAGAAAACTAGTGTCTATGTGAAGTAAAATGAAGCGTTAACACTAAACAGCAAAAACAGAAAGAAGTTGCAAGCTATGGCACAAAAATATGCAACACACAAGCTCAAATTCTGCAGCAAAGACAGGGCAAAATGCAGAAAGATTAAAAATAAAACACTAAAATAGAGTAACTAACAAGTTCAATGCAAAATTAACACCAAAGTCCCCGGCAACGGTGCCAATTTGATGAACGATAATTTTCTTTCGTTTGGAAAAAGATTTGTCGTCAACCTTCATCAAAATATGCAGAAAAATTTATGTAGCCTAGGATGCAAGCCTAGGTTATCTCCAACAACTTTGATTTGTAACATACATTGAACATGTTGTAAACATTTAATATAAAAGCAATTAAAGTAAGGGAGTTTTGTGTAATTCCAATTTTAATGTAAAGGCAAGTGATGAAATTAATGAATCCAATCAATGAAATGTGCAATCCTTAGTTTGTTCATGTAATTCTATCCCTATCCCTCTCAAGATTCAATACTTTTCCTCTTCCTTTGAATTAGGGTAACTCAAAAAGCAAGAATTAACCTTAACGTCCCATACAAATTAAGCAATTTACATGGGCTCCAACTCTTTTCCCCAAGATTACACAACCTTAGAAATTAACTTAGGATTAAGCAGACTAAGTTAAGAATTTCATTAAAACAAATTAGGGTTAATTAAGCAATGTCCCCCTTATTCAACCATTAATTCAATTCAAAGAGTTGGGAAATGTAAATTCATGAAGGAAAGGGAATTATATTGACATTCATACCCAGGAATTCAAGAATTCATGAACTCACTAAGGATTACAAGAAAGTTTAGCCCTCCATAAGGATGGGTCTTACAAATTCAAGATGAAAACAAGGAAAATTCAACCATAAGATTGTAAATCAAACCATAAGATTGGCCTTGGCTGTGACCCAAGGATCCTAAGCTCTACGAAATGCTCCCAAATTGGCAAAAGAATCCAAAATTTATGAAAAAGCTCTGTACCTTAAGTTCTCAAATTCTATTAATAGTGCAGAAATTTTCGCCCATAGTAACTACTATGGTTTCATAGTGATAACATGCAGTGCTTCATAGTAGTTACTATCGCTCCATAGTGGCCACGCGCAAGTCCTGTGATTTGGGCCTCTCTGGAGTTATCACTTTAGTGTCATAGTGATAATGCGCAGTGCTCCATAGTAGTTACTCTCACCCTATAGTAGCCACGTGCAAGTCTTGTGCTTTTGGCCTCTTTGAAGTATTCACTTTAGTATCAGAGTGATAACTTTGGCTGCTCCAGAGTGTCTACTATGATTCTAAAGTAAGCACGTGCAACAATTCTTCAAAATGGGTCTCTGTAGTTGTTACTATGGGTTCATAGTGATCACTTTAGTCTGCCCTTCTGAACTTAGCTTGCTGTAGTGTTCACTGTGGGATCCAAAGTGATCACTTTCATCTCAAACTTTCTCAAATGCTAAGAATCCATGGAAAAAAGTCTAGAAATTCTTGTACAATTATTCAAATGATCAAAATTGCAAACTATATCTATGTAAATCAATGTAAATTAACCAAAAATTAAGAATCCTATGTATTTGACCAAAATGATATTTTTATGTTATTTACACTTCCTAAGTTTACTTTTTCTATTAAGAAACATCAAAATGACAAGTAAAAATCCAATAAAATGTGGATTCATCAATGAAGTGTATGAATACGTATGGATAAATATGCGATTATAAGAGTATATATATGTGTGTGTGTGTGTGTGTGTGCTAAGAATGTTGGACTGTGGCTGGTTTGAGTGATAAAATTTGGCTAAGTGTCTGGTGCAGGGTATTCTTGCTGCAGCGAGAGATGTCTCGTTGTAGCTAGAGGGTCCTAGGAGGAAAACATGAAGTTGTCGCCTTCTCGCTGTAGCGAGAGAGCGATAGTTTGGGGTGCACTTTTGGGTGCAATCTCGTTGTAGCGAGAGGGTCTCGCTATAGCGAGAGAGCGATAGTTTGGGGTGCATTTCTGGGTGTAGTCTCGCTGTAGCGAGATTCTGCAGAAACCAGATTGGAGTTTCTTATGAGATTTTTGTTGTAGCGAGATAGGCTATTTTTGCAATGAGGGGACCTCGTTGTAGCTAGAGTGTCACGACCAGAGGAGTATTTGAGGGGTTAGGGTCTCAGGGAAATCATTTCCACTTCTCCCTTCAAACACTCTCTCATTTCCCTCGATCCCCAAGCTATTTTTGCCTATTAAACTATCTCCAAAGCCTTTTAGGTACAAGATTGAAGGTTGGAAGCACGTTTGGAGCTTTGGAGGTGAGTTTCCATGGTTAGGGTTTATGGTTTCTCATCCCCATTCGCTGTTTTCTCGATTTTCCTTAGTTCTCATGGCTTTCTTCAATGTATTTAGGACGAAATTCGTGTGAAGAGTGTCTCCTTGGTTAAGTTTGTGCGTGGGTCTTCAACTTGAGGGAAGGGGGAACTTTACCCTATCTCATTTTGTTAATTTTGCTAGGTGTGACCATGTGATTGAAATAGGAGGTCGAAATATGTATGTTTCAATAGCAATTCCATGTTAGATATGATAAAATAAACATTGAATGATGATTGTTGTTGGGTTGTCATGCCCTTGATTGATAGATGTGGATTATGTTGAAGGTTGTGTGCATAGAATTGTTGTGCATTAAATATAACACGAATAAATGTGGCATTTGTGCCGTGTACTGTGAATGAATATGGAAATATGTGCCATGTAATATGAATGAGGGCCTGTGCGCCGTGTGCAAACATGAATGTCGTATGCAATTGAAAATGTGTGTGAATGGGGCATGTTAAATGCCATTGTAATGATGCTATGAATGGTTCAGTGATACACTAGAGGTGTGGAAGATGGAGACGGTAGAAATACCTTGGGGAAGGGAGAGTGGTGGTGACACCAATAGTGAGCGTGGGTGCACCACGGGCCACACACTCTCCTCTTGACTAGACCTTTGACCACTACCTTTGTTGAGCGACTTGTGACCATGCACGTGGTATCCGTAATGTAAGGGTAACTATATTTGACTCTAATGTTTAAATTTTTGGGTTGTAATTAAGTTTAAAGTATTTGCTTTTGTTAGGTGATATTAGTTGTTATTTTTAATCAATATCAGACATTTATTATATAGATTCACTTTACTCTAAATCTAGACCCATATGCCGAACTTTTTTAATAAGATCTAATTTAACTTCATATATATGGATTTAATTTATTGTAATATGTTTATCAAGTTTCTTTCATTGATTGTTTTTTCTTTTTTTCTCTTACACAAAGTGTCTCAAGAAAATGACTAGTAATGACTATGTATATTATATGTGTTACTTGATTGGAGATACCTTGCAACATGGACAAACTACCATCCAGTTAATGTAGGAAGTTCTTTTCCTTTTGAACTTAATAATTTTGTTTTTACTTAAAATCTAACATTTTTTAATTACTAATTAATTTATACATTTGTAAATGTCCAGTATATTTTGAAGTTTTAGTTACCTAAGACTTTAGAGGGAGTGGTCTGCATATCCATACCATAGTTCTTTGAAGGATAAATTAAGTACTATTGATTATTCGACATATTCATATAAGAACATTCTATATTCTTTTACATTTGTATTTTTTGCAATTATGAGATACTAAAGAATAAATTATTAAATTTACTTCTCTAAATATAATAAAAGATTCATTTTTTCTTTCTTTTGTATAGTTTTAGATTTTTGGGAGAGAAAATATTAATTCTTTCAATGTTATTATATTCATTATATTTATCAATTATATCAAATTTTGACCAAATTTTAAAAATCAGACAAGACTATATTGAGAATGATTCATGTAACAATAACTCTGTGGAGTATAATTTGGAAAACAATTCAATATGACAACTATTCTCAGAAGTACACTTTATAAAATGTTTTCACATACTAACTGCCTTCTGATTTGACTTTTGATGTTAATATCTTATCAATCAATTTTATAGTATACTTTATATAAGTGGTTGCCACAAGAAATTACTCTCTTCTGAGAGCAGTTATAGAATTGGTCTTTGAATTGTGATGTATTTAGATAGTGCTTCTGATTAAACAATTCTAACCGCTCTCTACCCTCAAATCTAATTTCTAACATAGTAAAAATATGTGATTTTAGATACTTTGATAGATTTTGGCCGTCACTGCTCTCTTTTTACTAGCTTTAATGACCAAACCACATGTTGTGGTCATGCATATGTTGTTTCCTAGCTTGCAAAATATCTAGAATCCATGCTTCAAAAACATGCACAAAGTTTTGGCAAAAGATCCCTTATCCGAACCATGAACATAAAAAACCATCTCATAATTAGACGCAGAATACTAATTTCGTTTGACTAGGAAATTCCCATTTTTGCTCCCAATTATAGATAAAAGCTTCTCACTTAGAATCTCGGATTCTAATCTCTGAAATTTATTAACCTGCATGCAATAAACACTTTTAGTTAGTCCACGAATTTACAATGGACTCTCTCTAACTCTCCATTAATTTGGTACCAAAAGCAATAATAATTGGAATGATTATAAAACACACCTGGAAATGCAAGTTATAGAAGACCCTTCCACCATACGTCTCATAGGAAGAAACATTTAGCAGTAAAAGGCCATCATTTTCTAAACACAGCAAGATCTCAGATAGTGGAATCTTGCTGACCATGCGAGAAGAAATCTGAATTGCAGCCTCATTATCACTGAGCCTACTTGTCGAAACCACAAAACCAGAGTTGTGATTAGCAATCTTCCTTCCGGATTCTTTGCTGACCATAGCATCACCTTGACGAGAAATTTTCGACAAAGTTTCTTCTTTTTTCTTATTTAGTCCTTCCACTTGCTGCTGTAACTCTGGTATGTATTTTAGGACTCGCGAAATTGTTGCCGGAATGCTCAATTTCTTCTGCGACAATAACATGGAAAATGTATATATCTTAGTTTAGCTTGTTTGAAAGCATCCCATGAGGAAATAAAAATATCCGGAATATTGTTAGATTATTTGAAAATATCAAGTAATATTCAAAATAATATCCAAAAGTATTTTAGAGCACCTTAGATTATATTTTAGTTAATTTTTTAATTTCTTTGTTTATATATGCGTGTGAAGTGAGAGGAACAAATTAACTTTAATGATTAAGTTTTATCATAAATAGTCAAAATTAAAACATATAAGTTATATAAATTTTTTAAAAAATCGTGTTATCTTTTTAAGTGAATGTATATATCAATGAAAATCAACAATTAACGTAGATGTCTCATTTATATTAATGATAAACTTTAATGTAAAATGAGCTGGTAGTAATTAACATGTCCACTGGCGCAGTAGTTTCATCCCATTTAAATTACTGATCAAATAAAAGTTTATTGGAGGAGTGAATTAATTTAAAATTATAGCACGTTGCGGTTTGCAATTTTGTGGAAGTGTTAATTAATGCTCTTGAAAACACAGAGGCTTTGGTTATAAAAAATATTTATGGGTTTTGTTAATTTTAATCTTGAGTTTCACCTAAATCGTAGCAAAAAATTTTTAAAAAATTATTCATAAAAGTGTAATAAATATTTTAATTTTTTTAATATATTATATACTTTATTAAATGCTTTAAATTACTACAGAAAGTATTAAATTTATTGAACCCTTTTGTAATTTATAAACAAGAAAAAATTTATTTTCAATGAAAAATATGTATTTAACTTCTTACGTGTGGCTTTAAAGATATACTTAAAAAATAGTAAATTTTGTGATAACTTAAAAAATTTTAGAGTACCGTACACATGAAAAATTTTAACTAATAATATTTAGATACATGTTTAAATAATAAATTATTATATTTGCTATATTTAAATAAGTTGAAGAGTAATTATGATGCAATTAAAATTAAATATATTAAAATTTAAAAATAAAATAATAATATTATATTAATATATTTTATATTTTTAATTCTATTATTATTAATATTTAATTATTTAATTATTATATTAATATATTATATTATAATAAATAGAAATTGTTTAAATATAAATTATATTTTTTTCAAAATTAAGAATTTATAAAAAAATGATAAAAAATAAAATAAAATATTTAATATACAATATATATATATATAATTAGAATTATATAGTAAATAATATAAATAATATAATTTTAAATAAGTTATATAATAATATTTTTAAACTTTTCATATGTTTCTTTTTTATTGCTGTAATTTTTTTTATACAGTATCCATAAAAAAAATTTAGAATACCGTACCATACTCCTTAAAAAATTATTTTTAATAAAACTTTACCATTATTTACTGTTAAACTTAGTTATCAACATATTACAAAGTTTTATTTCAGAAGCTGAACAAAAAGAAAGCCTCCAAAAAAGTAGTCCTGTTTACCTTTCAAATTTTAATTATGTCCTTGAATTACTTAGACAAATAAGCACCCCATGCTAATTAAACTATGGATTTCCATTGCCAATGTCTTGAATTGTTGCTCATAAAATTTTTCACTTCGTAATAACCAAACAAGGCCAAACGTTATATATAGAGAGTGAGAGAGAAGGGTTATGTACCATTTGATCTGCCACCGGAAGAAGTGAACGAAGTGAAGAATACAAGGCGTTGATCTTCTTGCGCCGATCACGTTCACTAGCATTGTGGTTAAGCTTTTTGACCATGGTAAGATCGCAGCTTATGGCAGGTGAGGGAGTAGATGTTTCTACCTGTGGCGAAAATGAAGACAAGTGATGGTGATATAGTTCTGAGGCTTGAGTAGTGTCTTCGAACAAATAGTTCTGTCTGTGGCTTATGGGCTCCTCAAAGGGCCACCCAATGGTTGAGAACATAGGAGGGGATAATGCTAGCATAATGAGGATTAGGTGGAAGTAGTTAATGAAATGATCATGACTTAAAGATATATATATATATATAACTTCATCCTTTATGTAACTAGAATGTGTCCTTTTCCCTTCCATTATTATATACTCTCGAAACCATGAATCTTTCTTGCGAGACATTAGATGACGTAATACCACAGAATGCACCAGGCTATGATCGATATATTTTGTGTAATAAGGTCATTAAATTATTGTGGCACCGGAGAACTAGCTTGGTGGCATGTCTTTAATGTGTTAGTGTGTGCAAAAGTGAGGGTGACGAGGATATAGCACGTGGATGCAAACTGAAACGCATGCCCTTTGTTTTATTAATTTTGCTATTGAACTGTTGACCGTTAAATATGTTCCACACTTCTAGACTTTCTGGGGGCGCCAGGTTAATCAGCATTTTTAAAAATCTACAATAACATTTGCATAATTATTATTGTTTCTAAATATAAGGGAAATATTTTATAATATATCTTTTAATTGTTCAAAAAAAAATTTATTTTCAAAAATATTTGAACTGACTCTTTTTTCTATGAACCAGGCTAAGCCGTTTCATGCACATCTATCAATTGCTTGGGTTTCGCTTACTTTCTCCAATGTCCTAACATTTATTTTTCTTCAACCATGAATTTTAATCACTGCGTCAAAAAAAGTAAAACCATAACAGTTTGTGTAATAAAAATGAGCGGTTTCATGTATTATCTTTCTATCCATTATCAAACGAGAGGAGCCAAATGACATTACTTTTCAATCGTTATTTTTTTATGTGCAAAAGAGTTAATAAATGTTGAATGGCAGACCAAGTGAAGCAATGGGAAAAGACTTCGAAATGCATGTGCCGATGCATGGCATACACAAGCCTTTAGTGTGACGATCTCCGGTTTATCCGCTTTTTTAAATTAAGGCTGGGTTGAGTAAGAATGACAAATTCTGATGCATGACACAGTAGCGTATCTATAATCTATAATAAAAATAATAATAATACAGCCAAATGAAAACTTGTAAGAGACATTTTTAACGTTACAGTAAACAAAGCATTAGAAGCAACTTTGCGTTACTTTAGAGAAACATGTTTAAATTGCTTTAACAAACACTGTTACGTAAAGGGGGTACACTTGGAGAATTATTCTTAATTGTTTTTTAAGTTTCATTTAGCTAGCGCTTTTTATAACTACTTGATAGCAATTATCAAATCGCTACCAAAATAATAAAGTTTTTTTTTTTTAAGAATTTTGAAATACAGAATTCAACATAAATCGATTCACAGAAACATATATTTAATTAAATTCAATTTTAGAATTTAAAAAATGCAAGTAAAATTTAAGAATTTTGTAAACTTCAAATTAATTGAATTAAAATAAATCAAAGAATATAATATGAATTATATATCAATCCACAAATTTACATATGCATGCAATTTTGGTTATAATAATATTTCAAGATTTTTATGAGTTTGAACAATTATCACATCTAATTATTAATTCAATCGAATAACTTAATTGATACAATATTGGAGAACTAACAAGCAAGTGTACTAGGTAGTTGTAGCAAGTAATAAAATTTAAAAATCAATGTGAGTCCTAAGTATCGTCCTCAGGGATTAGGTCTATGAATTACCACTTCACAAATCAATAACTAGTTGAGCCAAATGAATATTGAAGATGTTTTGAACCATTTGAGAACAAAAACAATAAAGTGCAGAAATCTAAAAAATACAGCAAAACAGAATACGAATTTTGTATTAAAATGCTATATGAAAAATAGTTAGAAATCACTTCAACAGATTTTCTATTGCAATGTAATAATGTTCTGGACTCTTAAGAATTTTAATTGATTGATAATCAATTTCACTTCTTTAACCAAAGGACAATTCCTTGCCTCATTGATCCTAATATCTAATTAAACCTCCCTAATTCCTTAGGTGAAATTCAACCAAATATTGCATTAAGTTCTAGAAATTATAGGATTACTAGATTATGATACTTATTCCTAAGATCTCAATAACCTAAGCATATAATTCAGATCTAAGAAATAAACTCAATTTCCATTGATGAAGATTCCTCTAAATTCAATTGAATGAAGGATTAGTTCACAACTGCATTAAGAACAGAATCACATACTCAATTCAATTAAAACCTCAAGGTCCACATCCAAAATTACATCACAATATCAAATTTGGATCCATCGATCCCTAACAAAAAGAAATCAGAACATGCTCCTAAAAGAAAAAGAGAGAGAAAGAGTAGAAGAAGAGGAGCTGCAGAATTTCTTCATAAATCCAATCCCCAGCCTGATTCCTCAAGGTCCAGAGCTTGGAAGTCACCCCCAATCTCCCTCGCTAACTCTCCTAAGGTGTGGAAATGAAAAGGAAACAAAAAATGGCAAAAGACTCCCTTTCCTAAGTTCCTAATTCCTATTTATAGAGTTCCTTTAATTCTTCGACTTACTCCTTGAAATTCTGATAGTTAGTTGTCCCTAGGTGTTCTGGAATCTTCTAAAAGTTATACAAAAGCTCCAAACGTCTAGAATTGGAAGGAAGAAGAAGTTATGAAAATTGCAAAATTCTGTGCCAAAATGCGCAGTGGCTGGAGTGAAGGCACACGGTTGCGCGCCTTGGCTGTAAGTGCTATGAGTTGCAACGCGCTATTGCGTGCCAAGGCTTCAAGTGATGTGCGTTTCAACGCACAACACCTCAATGAACGCTTCTTTCATGTGCTCAGCTCTGCGTTTCTACGCCATCTGCTATGCGTTTCCATGCTCTATTACGCGCCAAAGCGCCAAGTGATGTGCGTTTCAACACAATGACAGTTATCCAATTTCAGTTGCTGGAGTGTTAACGCGCATCACTTAGAGTGGCCATACAGACCCAATGCTGTATTTTGTTTTTTCCACGTTCAAACGCCAATCACTTGGAGTTGTAACGCCCAGCTCTTAGGATTTCTTCAAGCTTGATTCTTTGACTATTCTTCAATTTCAGCTGCTAATCCTTCCTTTAAGCACTTTCAACAACTTTCTATCTTTTTGCATGAACTCCTACAAAAATCTAAACATTTTTTAATATTTTAACAAAACAACAATTTATACTAATTATATTATTTTTGTGATCTTTTCAAGTTTATTTTAGAACTATTTTCCTAATTATTAACCAAAAACTATGCTAAAAATATGGTAAAATATGGATTTATCATTAATTAAACCAGATAACGAATTAAATCAAATTATCATCTAACTTAATTTGTAATTAATTATCAAATCAAAATATCGATCGAATCCTTATTTAAATTCTAACCTATAGAAAAGTTAATCATGATCATTAATTGTAAATTTCAGATTGGAGAAGATGAGAACAAACTTGGAGCACTTGGTACAAAACTCAAACTGGTTTTACATTATCTGGATTTCTTGGATTAAACAAGAGGTTTAACTCTATTGAAACACTAAACACTAAACACTAAACACTAAATGATGAATCCATATTTTACTAATATTTTAGCCTAATTCTAACATTTTGATAAGAAAAATATACGAAGAAAGCAGAAAAACTCAGAAAAAGAGAATGAAGTAAAGTTTTCTTTAAAATGATAGTTATCTTAGCAATTGTGGAATTTTTGCTCAGGAATTAAGTTTTTAATCTTGTTATTGAAGGAATAATTTGAGCAAGGTTCATGAAAATGGAGGCTTGATGACAAGGAAGAGGAAAGAAGCAAATCTGGACTCCAAAAACACAAGAACAAGAAAATGTAGATTGGGCGTGATCACTATTGTCAGTGAAAGTGATCACTCCAGAGTACAAAGTAGAAGAAAGCCTGGGCGTCATCACTCTTGTCGTCGAAAGTGAGCGTTCCAGAGAGGCAAAATATTAGGAAAGCTCTGCGTAACCACTATTGTCGTCGAAAGTGATCGTTCCAGAGAGCCTTCATCTTGGCGAGTTACGCGTAGTCACTTTTATTCATAAGAGTGATCACGCGCAACTACTTGAGGTCTGCGTTGACACTTTTATCAGCAAGAGTCATAGTTCTAGAGAGCTCTCAATATCAGGAAAGTTGCGCGTGACCACTTTTTCTCATAAAAGTGTTAACGCGCAACCATAAACCTTCTGCGTAGTTACTATTTCTCATAAAAGTGATAATGCGCAAATCTGGGAATTTCTATAAATATCAGAAACGCTCAGATTTTGGAGGATTTCCGTTCAGCTCAGTTTTATTTTCCGTTTTTCTGTTAGATTGTTGTTGAGAGAGATTGAGAGAGAAGATTGGGGTCAAGTCTTGAAGCTTCCACAAAGAGGAATCGGATTGGAGCTTCCGGCCATGGCTTCTTGGAGTTTTTCTTCTTCTTCTTCTTCTTTTTCTTTCTCTTCTCCCATGTCTGAGTAGTTTTCTTCTAGTTAGGAGTTTATGGAACTTGAATTGATGTATTGATTTGATTCTTGCTTCTGAATTTTGAGTTCTTGGATTAATTGAATTGTGAATTCTGCTTTTCTTGTAATTTATAAATGGAAATTCGTATAGTTCATCAAAGAGGAACATTTACCAATGGAAGTTGGATTTGATTCTCTGATCTGATTTTGCAATCAAAATTTAGGAATTTCTTAGGGATAAGGAGACCTAATTCTGCAGTGCTAAGGGATTGAAAGGTTCTAAGTCTTAATGCAACTTGAAATTGAACTTCACCTAAGGAATTAGGGTGGTTTAGTTGCTTGTTAGGGTCAATGAGTTAAGGGATTAACCTTTGGCTATTGAAATGCGAAACTAATTGTTAATTAACCAAGTTCTTGAATTTTCAGAAGCATAATTGAATTAATATTGACATTCTTATGAAGTAAATTCTACTACCTTTCAATCCATTTCTAATCTCACATTGCATTCATTGATCTGTTTTCTGCACGTTTTCTTTACTCTTAATTGTTTTGGTTTATTGCTTTTGTATGTTACAACTCTCCTCCAAAATTTGTATGGCTCAAATGGTTACAAATTTGTGAATTG